CCCAAGGCACCAAGGGAGGTTTAATTTGATGGCAAGTTGCTTTTGAACAAATAAAGGCGGCATAAACGTCTTAATAACTAAGGTGTCTGAGAAATTTAAGAATCTGTCTTCAACACGTTTTGTAATTAGATCTAAAGGAGGTAGAAACGCCAATCCTGTGACCTGTCTTAACGATTTGCATAGCAATCAAAGAGCTTGGACATCTGCTATAAACGTTTATGGATTCAAGTGATTCGAATATTCTCCGAGGCCAATACTTACATGGATCTATGAGTCTTATCAATGTGTGTATCACCATACTCACATTTGAATTGGTTGTAGAAATTTTTCGCTATATAGAAAACCTGCATTGTACACATTATAAAACTTAACGCCACTGTCAGAAGGACTTACTATGCGGCTAGGGTTTGACTAACAGAAACTACCAAGCCTGTATATTCTCTCTAACCCTTAGAGCATTTGAGCAACAATGTCATATCCCACTGCACCAACCACTTCAAATGTACGTATGGTGATACATACATACGGAGGAGTCATAGATCCATACAAGTAAGGGGCTCGAAATATATTTCAAAGTGGCTTCAGAAGCAAATTAAATCACCTGAACCTATAAACATTGGTATCGCAGGTCCAAGTTCTTAGATTCCGAAATATATCATTGAGACAGGTCACAGGATTCATGTGGCTACTTCCTTTACACCTTATTTATAAAACGTGTTAGGGACGTACCCTTAAATCTGTTGAAGCCTTAGCTATTAAGAAGTTTAAACCACCTTTTTGTGTTCAAAGACAATTTTTTATCACATTAAATCTCCCTTGGTGAATTCAACTATGGAAACCAAGTTCGATGTACTATTATTTTCGCTCTATTGACTTTCATTATTATTTGGCCTTTAATTCATCCTTTCTACTTGACCTCTTTTCATTTACTCATCTCTTACCTTCATAAATTTTCATACAAATACCTATGACGAGTACGTAAGGGATCAGACAATTTGCGTCTTCTTATTGTTTTGTCGAAGTTTATTAAACTTTATTATTTTCCCTAAGCTTTGATATTTCAGCATGAACCATTCCATACCTTTCTTTGTGAATATAACAAAAGCAATAACGGCACGAATGTGAACGTGTGGTAGGTACTAGAGTATGTTGTCTGCCAAACCACGGTTATCTCAGATAGTCAAAATGATAATCAATATCATGTTCTCTCTCTCCCTCTCGAATTCAGTTACTTTTGGTTTGGGAAAAGAAGTTCTGACAAGGCAACCAGTGTGAATACGACCGAGTAGTAGTAACGCGTCACAAATTCACATGAAAGTGGGTAAAACCCTTGGTGGTTGAAATCAAATAAAAATTTAGTCAGCAGTCGGATCACGTAGCTCAGGTGGTAGAGCATTCGGTAGCAAACCCGGTGGTCGCTGGTTCGAGTCCAGTTGCAGTCCAAGTTTTCATTTCACATTTAATCACCACCCAGTATAAATATGTAGACAGCATCTTGCGCAACTCTGAAGCATCTATTAGTAACCTCCATGAAAATGTGCACATTTCTGTCTATATATATATATATATATATATATATATATATATATATATATATGCTTTCAATAAGTGATATAATTTCGGAATTTATCTAAGAGAAGAAAAAGGAGTCAGTGATCGCTATTCAAACTCATTTCTTACAACAAGAAGCAGTATGTCTACTCAAAGATCGATCAGGAAAAGATTAGAAGAGAAAAAAACACGCGACTTGGATACGTAGCTATTATTCGTGTGGAAGTTTTCCAGTACAGTAATTTCATGTTATCTTGTATTTTGCAAACATAGTTATAAACTTCTTATTTATTCATTAAATATTCTCAAAATTGCAACAAACTAGAAGTAAGAGTCATTTAACTGCAGAATGTGAAAAACTTTTTTTCTAGCCTAAATGCTTATTTATTTTTTTAAATTATTGACTGTGAATTGTAGTTTTACAAGTCGTGTTCATAAGCGTATGACTTGAAAATTAACCAAGTTACACAGAGATAATCCTATACCGAAACAAATAACTACTTTTACTGGTTTATCGAGCGATCAGTTGATATGAAAATACATTTAGATAAAAGTTATTTTATCATTATGGTATGTAAAAAACGTTTAAGATAAAGTGATAGGTCAAGAAATGAATCTGTCAGTTATTAAGGTAATTTATTTCTAGCAGAACGATCACATCAACGGGAAATAAAAATATTATCCACTCCATGTGATAGTTGAACACATAATATTTTTAGCACACATAAACTTCATTGTAAAACATTTATTTTTAGCAAAAAAAATAATGATAAAATAATGCACTAAACCAGTTACTAGTTCTATTTCTAAGAACATTTTATACACGAACGTAGAATGAAGTGGTGAACACTAACCAGATGAAGAAGAAAACTGTTGACTTTTATCTGCTAGTAGGATATTCGTTGTGGTCAAACTTTAAGCTAAGGGTTTTGAGCTATGAGACATTCAGTGTAAACACATAGATTCGGAGACTCTTATACGTATTCTGTAAAGTGAAGTATACTGAGGCATAGATAGCAGTCACTTTGAACATGTTTTCAGCAAAAATGTATATAACGATGTGATCAAAATGAGGAGGTTAAGAGCTTTATTCTTCATCACTTAATTGTCTTAAAATAAATAAGTGGTTCAATTGAAGAATTGGAGATTATTTACATCGAAGTTTTTATTTGTAACTGATGCGCTTCTATAAAAAAATCCTAGTTCAATTTGTTCACCTGTTCTTTTTGACTTCACAAGAAACAATAAGCTCAAGTTATTCTGAAACAATTCAATCTATGTGTATACAAAAAGACACAACAACTCTTTGTCTCTAACATAGCCGTAACATAGTTTTTGCAACACTTGTTAATCCCATTTAGACTGATCTCAGCATTCTTTTCAATTATGCACTGAAAGAGTTATTTTCATTACTCATCAATTTCGAAAATACTGTTTATATCGCATAACTGATTGCTAATTTATTGACTTTGTACTTGTGCTCATGTGACCAATTCAAAAATATAAGTAATATCATTTTGAGTAGTCTTTTTTTTGTCCTTTAAAGTGTTAACCGAGTGGCAGCTTATCGGTTTAGGCACTTGATTTCCAACCTATCGGTCAGCTCAATCTATCAGATATTGTCACTAGCACTCATACAATGCATATAGCTCATGGTCTACTGAACAAATGAGCGCAAGGTTACTCGGCGGGCTTCTTTCTTTCTGACTTGAAATGCTCAAAACAGAAAATGTCCACGGTCAGCTGCAAAGTCTCAAATAACTCTAAACAATATACAGTAGTATACTAAACTAAATATCTTTTCTACAGTCACAGGCATCATATTTATACTTGGATATTTAGCTATGAATAGACTGTCTGAAAAATGAGAATTTTCTGCAGAACAATGACTTAATGTTTACAACTTTTCTTTCAAACATATCATTTCACATGTTTACAGTTGAGAAATCCTCTTACCTTAAGATATGAGTAATCTGTATTCAGCCGTAAGTAACTGTCTACATAGATCTGGAACAACAGAAAACTTTGAAAATAACTGTTATATATTAGGAAGAATTTTCTACTTGATAACGATTGATAACACACCAAAATACGGTGCATCGCAGTAAGACGTCAAATAAATTGGTGATTACATAGTAAACTTGATCAAGAAAAATTTGAGCAGCGCCGAACGCTTAGGATTAGGCGATTACATCGGTTACCCATCTAAGATCAATCCATGTATTTCTTAGTATGTTTATCCTCGTAATAAGAGACTACCACCGTCACTATTAAACATAAAGATGATTTTTAAAAGTTGTCATATATATATATATATATATATATATATATATTGGAGCACCTTTTAGAATGGAATCATGTCTAATTACCCTGACGCCATGCGTCCTTAGTTATCCTTATAAATTACCAAATATACTCAGAGTAAAAACTATCTATCTTAGTTTCATGAGGAAGACAATAAATATGAATGAATCATGTGGACAAAACTATACCCTTGACTGTGAAATCCTAATAATAAAATAAATAACTCTAAAGGTCATCTTAGCACCAACTGAAATAACCAATCAGGTTTAACTATTTTGTCTAGGATGGCAATTTCTTTGTTAAATCTAGAAACCTGATTGGTTGTCTCAGCAGTTGCTAGGGTGGCTCTTACAGTCACTTGATAAAAAGTTCTACTTTGTAAACAAATAAGATAACTGATCATATTTTCGTTTAATGATATTTTACGACAGAAAGTGTAAAAATTAAGACGATTAGTGTTCACTGAATGACAACTATTTATAGAGAAAATTATTTTTCTGGGTAAAAACGAGAATACACTTTTCGGACATAGAAAATGGGCCCTATCTACTATCCATATTCATATTTTCACGCATTCTAACACAACTAACACTTATCGGTAGCTGATTACTATACCTGACTCGAATTTGATAAACACAGGGTGGAGGTTCAATTCACTTCAAGTCAAACTTTATAGTAATGCATAGCGGTAGACTAATATCAGTGATTTGAACAATAAACAGTACATTAGTACACATTACATTTGTATGAATGAACACAACAAATAATTTTTATTAGGTTGCATTCAGACAGATAATTCATATGTGGTACACTTTGAAAACCAACTGTACAATTCATGAATATCAAATAGATAATAAAGCGAAAAAATTGCTTGACCTTAATTTTGACTTTCAGATAAAAATCCTAGCTGAGAACAAAAATAATACATAAGAGTAAAATTTGCGGATTGCTGTAAGGTACAGTTCCATTAGAGATTTTTTAAATACATATCACATAGTATGACAGGATTACTATCAGTAAATAATACTGTCCCACTGTGTGATAAATATGAAATAGGAATACAATAGAATTACATATCATGTTCATGTAAAATTAACAATAAAATTATTCATCTAGACTACTATTAGATAAAATTCATAACTCACTTGTAATGCATTATATAATATTTGATGTTCATATTTTTTAACTCCTAATGTAGCTTGAAATAATTCATATAATTGTTCTTTAGTCATTACTAATTCCGGTTGAGGAACTTGAAGTTTTTGTAGAACAGTTGATGGTCCAACACCACCACGACATATTTGATCAAATTTCACCATCCATGCACTAACAACATTCGCTTTATTTAAACCTTCAATTTGTGGCAGACATTGTACACGATGTTCACTGTTCAATCGAAAAACTTCACGAAAATCATGCATTGAACAACCACCACCACGTACCATACTTGCTACACGATCACTACGTAAAAATACCTGTAAACAGAAGACAGAAAAAAAGAGGCAATAAATAATGGGAAGTAAAAAGATAATCCCTTTTCACACGGTGTTTTTCGTACAACATCAGCAAATGATACAAGTGACTTATTGAATTTGGGTGTTTGTGGAGATTTAGTGATTTTTCAAGTTAGTATTCATTGTAGACTGAAATCAGTTGGAGGAACAGTGGATATCTCAGAGCTGTTTCGTCCTAGTATTGAACTCCTCACCAGTGCGCGAAAGATCGAATCCAAAACCTTCAGCTTCTGCGGCCAGCACGTGTCCATTGAGCCACTGGGTAGGAATCCGATGACTCATATTTCTGACTTCTGTCAGTTCATAGTGCGACTACCGCCCATTGTTATCGTTAAGTATTTGTCCTCATGGTCACCAGGTTTTACCCCATCGGTCACGACTTCCCATGAGAACTTCAGGAATCACTTCTCGAAGCTAGTCACAAGTGAGTACTAGCTACCAAGTCAATGGCTTAACGGCTGTGTGTTGACCAGGAAACCTGACGGTTTTGGGTTCGATCCCTGGCGGGAGGGGTCATGGGTGCCCACTACCCTAGAGCCCCATACCACGACTAAACAGCTCTTCAGTGCTTCTAGATTTCCAATGTTCCTCAACTGATTCCAGTCCACAATGAATACCAACTTGAAGAACTGGCTTAGTCAAGAGCGATGTCGTTTATTACAAACAAATAACTGATAATTAATTTTTTCCATGGGTATTGCAAAATATAAACTTATTACCGTTGCTGCTTGTATTATCCCATCGTTGAGTGGACCTAATTGATCATTCTCTATTGGCATATAGGTTCCTGCGTGGATATCTCGATATTGCCTGTGTTTGAATTATGTATTAATACTAGGTAGTGGTTAACAGTGGAATCGAGGACGCGTGTTTCGTCCCATTTGGGACTATTTGGAAGGCGAGTACATCCAGCCGATGAGTCCCAAACAAAACGAAACTCGCGTCCTGAATTCCCCTGCTAGCTAGTATTCATCATTAATATTATATTAATTAATTACAACTAAAATTAGATTTCCTTAAGGGCGTAAACTGAATAGAGCTAATTTTTTATCTTTCTATCAATACAAAAATAAAGTACGAATTACGTTTGAGACAATTAAAAATATATGACTTTTAGAATGACATGAAACGAACACTCATCAAAGTGCACCACAGTGATAAGCCTCCTACCTTCGTGATCACATTGCGAAATGACCAACAGAAATAGATCAGCATTCAGAAGTGACTAATTAGTGTATCTAATCGACTCTTATAGAAGGCCAATCTTAAAGCGAATCTCTCAATAACAAACGTGACGGCGATTCGAATGCCACAGGCGACATCAGTTCCACCGAGATTGCTGATGATTGCCAACAACCACATAATTTAGGATCAAGGCTTTTTGATGTCTCCAACCAGAAAATACATATTTCTTAAACGCTTCAACAGTACTAAGGCTCAGCTAATAGCTCAAATAATGCTACATAATGGAAGTACATAAAACAAATGTCACAACACTTGACAAGTGATCTCCCATACCTTGTACGTGATGATCGATTACGTATAGAACAACAGACTACGTTTGAAACAAATGCTACTTTTTTTATATTTTTGACATTACAGTACACTAGTTATCTTACCACCTTTTCTATTTACCGAAGAAGTGAGTGACCATCAAGGATAGTTTGTAGGTTATTTTTCAAGTATCTATCCAATTGTACATATATGTAACTCAAGTTAATACCCGACAGAAAAAGCAATAAACTGAATGATTCCCTTAGAAATTATCACAAGAAACATGCCGTCTGCATTGATTTTTCTTATAGCTAAATAGTTTCTCAACTGGATAGGTATGGTGTTAATAGGATACCCACTGCATATCACAGCCAAGCATAAAACGTATGATCTCCGACACAAAAACGTCATCCATTCACGAAACTTAACACTGAATAACTTCAGTAGTCAGCAAACCCTTACCGTGATCAATCAGTGATCATATTAGAGTGATTAAACAGATCTAGCTAGCGGAAGTCGAGGACGAACTCGACTGCCTGCTAACCAGTCTTGTTGTTTAGTAATGTATATTTGGATAAAAATTTAGTCTGTGAATCAAAATTTATCTATGACTAGATCGGAATAAATCAGTCTGGGAAAAATTCGCATTAGTATTTAACGGAAATCCTCAAATTCATAGATGATAACCGTCAAACTGATAACATAAAATAACAGTCAGCTTGGCATATCTTTAAGAAAGAAGCAGAACTATAACCTGTATGATTAAATTTACGCATTGAACGATTTGTAAAGGATTTACAACTGAACCAGGGTGAGATAAATCAAAGATAAATATTCAATCATCTGTAGCGTTAGCTACTCACTAAGCCATGCGTAAACATTGTACACAGCTTATGTTGACAATAAATACAATAGTCAAAAACCAAAATATAAAAGGCGATAGAAAAGAAAACGAATGCCCTAGGAGATAAATTAAAAGAGAGGAAAAAATGTTAATAATATTGAAAATTATAAAAACAAAACAGCAGAGTAGATGAGCGGTAAAAATATATAATATTGACGGGAAAAGGTATAGTCCATACTTCACTAAACGATGTACTCAAAAAACTGGAATATTTCTGAATCGGTTATCGGGTTTAAGCAAGCCTAAATTATAAAAAATTATATAATGCTTAACATCTGGGTACTGGTTGTACTATGATCTAAGTTACACTCATTGTGTAAGGGTTTAATATCCCATCCTACTGTTTCAGCCTTGGTGGATAGAGCAGGACGTAAAATACATAATTTTAAGACAATAAAAAATATATTGAATTACTTAATAAAGAAAAAAACTTAAGAAAAGCTATTAAAACGTTTCAATTCTTTTTTCATTTTGTTACAATAACACCAACTAACAAGTGATGGTAAATCAGTAGTCACAAAAAACTACCAGAAAAGTCAAAACTTGGCAAAATGAAACCGTATAATTCAAAGAAACATTGAAAAGTCATGAGTTCACAGTTTTCCTTGAACAGCTTGATGAATTGGGATACATGTAATAAGTGTGACACCGAAATAACCACAGAAATCTCATGACTAGCTTTTCAGATTGTTTCCCAGACAAATATTGACATTGAACTCAATGATTTTAAAAGTTACAAAAAGAAAATGAATCCACAAGTAGGTATTTTACTCAAAATATATTTAGTACTGAAGTTTGCAGAAACCATAACTGCAGCACATATATTCATTCGGTAGCCCAAACTGTACACTGATTGGTTACTGGAGGATAACCAATTTCATTTTGTCTGGTCCCAAGTGCTGGTTGAATTCTATCGATCATTTGGTTCCAAATCTCAGGCGGGACATCAGTTCCGTCGGGGTCGCAGATACACCTTGCCGACGAGTTCTAACAAGCACGAAACCTAGGTCCACGGCTTCCTGCCGATCGCCTCCATCCAACTAACATCTATCAAAGTGCATCGTGATGCTGAACTGCCTAGTCTGGCGGCTCTATTGCAAAAAATGATTGACAGAATTCGATCGTCACTTAGCACCAGACAGTATGAAATTGGTTACCCTTCAGTGACCGACCAATGTCGCTAGTCCAGTCCTAGCTCAGTGGTAACGTCGCTGACTACAACACTGGGTGACGGGAGTTCAAATCTCGGGTGAGACATCAGTTCCATCGGGGTTGCAGATACGCCTTGTTGACAAGTACCAACAACCACGACGCCTAGCTCCAAGGCTTCCTGCTGATTGCCTCCATCCACTTAACAGCCTAAACTATGTTCAAAAACAAAACCTCTATTAAATGTTAACATATATCAGGTTTGATAACAGTAGTACTCTAACGTGCAGGATAGCCTATTCACTCATTCGATGTACGCCGGTGATTAGAACAACTAGTCAGTTTCAAAGGTCTTCTCAGTGCCTCTGAAGTCTTCTCTAGCCATTCCTTGGTAAATTTTGCATCTGGGATCATGTAACACAAAAGTTACATAGGGTTACAACGCAAAAATTGTTTAGTTCATATAACTATGTAGTATTAGTATTACAATTATTACCAGCACTATGATTTTCGCAGTAGTTAACATTTATTTAGCTTTACTTCATATGAATGGCCAAAATCTAGACAGAAAAGAAAAGGAATTATATGATGGATGAATTTGACAGTTTCCAATAAATTGAGGAAATGAGATGTTTCTACCACGTCAACTGATTATTCGCATGTAAATTAGGCAGTCTAGTGAACTGGTTGTGTCAGATTACTTAATAAATATCAGTTCTGACAAAATCATAAACATCTGGAAGCATATCATTAATAAGCATTATAAAGCAATGTATTTTGAGGTGAATAGAGAAGTTATTACTTAAGGTAGGATTCATTATGGACTGATATCAGTTGGAGTAAGCATTGAAAAGCAAGCAGCACTGGACAGCTGTGGCCAATTGAAATCTAATCCAGTGGCTAAATGGTTAACGCGTTCGCTGTGAAACCTGAAGATCCTGAGTTTGATCTCTGGCGAGGTTGCGGGTGCGCAATGCTAAAGAGTTCCATACTAAAGCGAAACAGCTGGCTAGTGCTTCAAGGTTTTCAGTGGTTGTCCAACTGAATACTCTTTTTAAAAAGTATAATCCCTATTAACATCAAAATGCAAAACCACAAACAGAAAATGGTATTTCTACTCTGAATATATGCATGAAAACATGAATATTTATCCATAGAGTGCTTCAATAAACTTAAGCACTCGGCCCCGACCACTTTTATGTAGTACTTTATAAGCTGTTTTCATGCCCACCCTGTAGTTACTTTCTAGTATATGTTTAGTGGTAAATGAAGATGGATGTTTGTCACCTGTGCTTATCGGATCTGTTGAAGCCATTTAGGTGGATGTTCAGCCATCTTTAACTGCATATCACAATTACTCCTCCCTACGTATACGTGTCCTCATAGAACAGAGTATAGAATGGCAGTCAACTCTACACCTCAACTTTATCGACTTTGAGAAGGCATTTGACAGCGTCGACCGAGAGGTAATTTGGAAACTGCTTCATTACTACGGAATACCGCAAACCTTTATCAGCCTCATTCAACAACTATATGAAGATGCCACATGCCAGCCAAGTAATTCACAATGGGAAGCTCAGTGATGCTTTTCAAGTGAAGACAGGAGTGAAACAAGGTTGCCTACTATCCCCCATGATATTCCTGATTGTGGTCGACTGGATCATGCAGCAAACAGTGGGGAGCGAGAAGAGGGGGATACACTGGACGACGGAAAAGAACCTAGAAGATCTGGATTTCGCCGATGACTTGTGTCTGATGTCATACAAACTTGAAGATCTACATGCAAAAACTAACAAGTTGACAGAGGAGGCAGCGAAGACGGGACTTCAAGTGAATATAGAGAAGATAGAGGTGATGAAGATACCCACCCAACAACGACAACAACAACAAAGTCCAGTCACCATCAATGGGAGAAACTTAAAGGAAGTAACCTCATTCACCTATCTAGGAAGCACTGTTTCAACTACAGGCGGCACTGACGAGGATGTCAAAGTCAGAATCGGAAAAGCAAGACAGGTGTTCATTAGCCTGAAACCAGTGTGGAGATCTTCTGCACTCAGCATGTGGAACAAGATCCGGATTTTCAACACTAATACCAGTCAAGTCAGTGGGATGTGATGTAGTCGTTTATATGTTGTTATGGATGGCCTTATAAACACTTATTAGTATTACGTACCGACAAAGTTGAATTTACATTCGAGGGTGAACACTTTCAACAGATTGATGGCGTCACGATAGGTAGTCCATTAGGACCGTTGCTATCTGATGTACACATGTCACATATTGAAAACATGGTTGACGATCTCATCGGAATGGTTTCATTTTATAAGCGATTTGTCGATGATATAATCGTTATATGTGGAAATCATAACGATGCAATATGTCCACTAGAGAAGATGAACATGCCTCAAAATGAAGTTAGCTCTACTTGTGAATAAAAGATGAACAACCAGCAACCCTTCCTAATCATAATGCTGAATCAAAGGGACAATGGCTCGATTGGGAGGTCGGTCTATAGGAAGCCTACATAGACAGGGTAATATCTTAATTGCCATAGCTATTACCCAGTCCAATATAAACGTGGTTTAGTTAGATGCTTATACAACAGGATAAACCGCATCTGCACCGATGACACCAGGGAGGAAGAAATCAACTTACTGACGATAACACTAACACAGAACGGCCACCCCGTTGAGATTTATCGACAGGTGCAAAAGTTATGTACCACTGAAAAGTACACACTGTTCCGTTGCTAAGAAAAATCTCTACATCCCATTACCATTTAGAGGTGATTCACATAGCTTTGTTATGAGAAGAAAATTTAGATCGGCCATCTATAAAACATATTATGCAGCCAAGGTCATCATTGTAGAGAAGACAAAATCCATGTTACAACACAAATCAAACCGACATATAAAAGACTACATCACATCCCACTGTGTTTATCAATTTACATGGATATGTGGACACATATACATAAAGAGGAGTAATTGTGATATGCAGTTAAAGATGACTGAACATCCACCTAAGTGGCTTCAACAGATCCGATAAGCACAGGTGACAAACATCCATCTTCATTTACCACTAAACATATACTAGAAAGTAACTACAGGGTGGACATGAAAACAGCTTATAAAGTACTACATAAAAGTGGTCGGGGCCGAGTGCTTAAATTCATTGAAGCTCTTGTCATCCTTTATTGTAAACCCCTTTATGTGTACTCATATTGAACCTATCTCAGTAGTAGTGATTTCAATTTTCATACCTCGAGTAATGTGATTTAGATTTTTGTCTCTGCTCCTTCCTATTCCTATATTTCCTATTGACTCCATAAACCCCTTTTGTAAATTTTCGTATAAACAGATCGACAGATTGTTTGAAATGTATAGCGCTGATACATCACACGTTCCAGATAATCTTCGTTTTCTCATTACGCTGTTTATGTTTAATATTGTATTGATAGGTAATTACTGTTTACTGCCACAGTAATTTTTAAACTCTCCGTTTCTAATGAACGGCATTATCTGAAATAAATGAATAAATCGATGCAAGACCTATTTTGTTAAGCTTACAAAAGCTCCGATAAACGTATGTGATCCTATATTACGTTTTATTTAGTAATGAAATACTTTGATTTTATAAAGGCATTAAAATATACATGGGAGAGAAGAACCAACCAACCCAATGCAAATAAATGTAACAATATAGTATCAAAATTTTATAAATGATAAAATATGGAGAACTACTATCCAGTACGTTGCCATATTAGCTTTATGTAGCATAACTGACGTTAGCGGTCATTATTCCGTTCAAACAGTGTGTAAGGTGAGTAATTTTATGCGGAATATTGATTGATCTCTTCAGTTATTGTAATATTTTTCATCTAGAGTGTCATATAAAGCTTAAATGGCAACATGTTAGATAATGGCAGTAGTTATATCACACCTACCTCATAATAACTTTGTACAGCATTTGTAAAAGCTTCATCACCAATAACATCTAATTCACCACTAAGAAATGCTTGAAAGCGTTCTTTAAATGTATTCAATTGTTGTTTAGTTATTTTCAGATAACGACGTATTAAATCAGTTGGTGGTTTCGAATAAAATGGATAGGCTATGCAACGCATAACAAAAACATATCTGGAAGAGGAGAAAAGGATTAGGGTAAGAAATTAAAATAATCAACTAGAATATCTATTCATATTTGAATGATTAATGAGATATATTATTACGAGGGTTTGCTTCATATGAATAAGTCGGAGTTTCAATTGAAGCAATAACTATTTTGTAGTCTAGTTAGTGGAATCTAGCAGATTCTTTTTGTCCTATTTGAGACTCATCACTTGGATATAACTGTACCCCAGTGCAGAGTGATGTTGATCCTGCTGAAAACCGAATCCAGTGTCCATCCCTTCCGACAACAAAGCGTTATCCACCAAGCCACTTGGTCACAAGCCACCATTATTGCAATTAGTTTCAGTTGTTGTTTATTGCTACAATTTATCGTTGTTATACTAAGTCGAATTGCTCTACCTCTATTGGTAGATAGGCTTCAATGGTCATGCCTGGATCTCGCCCAGACATTCATAATTTTGTAGTCTACTTGACAGCTAGCAATGCGATCCAGAAAGTGCGTTCCGTCCAATTTGGGACTAGCCGGTTAAATGTACCTGCAACCCAGTGAATGTTGTTGTTCCCAATAAGGTCTACAAATTAGACCCAGTATAGCAACCGGAAATTACAAGTATAAATAGAGAAGGATTATTATTTTATTGGGCTTTTTCTTTGATTCTAAAACTTAGCGCATTATATATTTACTCAAGTAACAGAACCTCTTTGACATGCTTACTCTTTTAACAAGATACAATTTATTTATAAAAATAAAGAAAGTATTGGGTAATAACTGAAATGAAAATTTGCATTGCGACCGGATTCGGACCAGCGATCACCGGGTTTTCGGCCCGATGCTCTACCGACCCACCTAGATGGTCCGACTCCTGATCAAATTTTTAGTTCACTTCAACGCATTACTACTGCTTGATCATATTTACACTGGTTGCCTAGTCAGAACTTCTCATCTCAATCCAAATGTAACTGAATTAGAGAGAGGAAGCGTCGTATTGATTATCATTTTGACTATCTGAGATAGCCATGGTTTTGCAGAGAAGTAATGATACTGGGCCGGATACCCGAGGGCCGCTGGTTCGAATTCGGCCGAAGTACAAATTTCCATTTCATGTTCAGTCATCACCTAGTATCACGACTAGTCTGCTAAACCACGGCTATCTCAAAGAGTGAAAATGATAAGGGAAATAGTTAAAACCCAAGAGGTACATTGATGTCAAGTTTCTATATTCCGGGCCAATTGGTAAACAGTTCGCAGATTTCACGTTTCTTCAGTTTAAACTGCTATTTACTAAGTTTAAAGAAACCGACAATTTTATGTTAGGGTGTACAGCAAATCAATATGGTGATTAGCACTAGTCAGTTATTCAACAATGAGAAGGCCTCGAACGATTAGATTACGATTCAAGTTGTCAAACTTCACAATAGCACTGATAAGAAATGGAAAGATACTAAAATGAACTGCAAAGTACGAGAGAACAGAAGAAGTAAACCATACAGGGTTTCACTAGGATGAACATTACTGTCATGTTCAGATGAATTTTTTGCTAGCTCCGCCCTGAATACGTATTCGGTTCCCCCAATATTCCAATCGAGTATGAACAGGCTTCACTACTACCTGTAAGGCGCAGACATAAACGCTATCAGAGTCTAAACAGGTACTCCAAAAAAATCAGTAATCCTCCACCGATCCTCTCTAACGATGGCTTAGAGCAATGTCATCTATCTGTGTCCATTGTTGGTTCGATGTCGGCGGATGCCATGTGAGATGGTGTCTCTGCTTACGCTAAAGTTGGTGCTGGATATAGACAGTTGATTGTAGGAACAACAGACGACCAGCACTGTTGGCTCGTTGGCATGGGATTCCGTAAATACCTCGAAGGTGCTATTTCAAAATGGCTCAGCTTCCCTACTTGAGCGTCGAATTCGCCTTCTGTTATCACTATGTCTGAACGTTATGCTCTATTTAGTAATGTTCACACCTTTAGATAGAATTCTTCCTTTACATCATCCAAACTGCAGTCGATGGGCGCGTCAGCAAATAATTGTGAGTAGGCATAGGTGATTTTCGTAATCCCTCCTACCATTTTACAGATCCACTCGGTTGAACAGTACTTAAGCGGAAGTTAACTAATATCCAGTAGAGAAGTAGACTTTATGCCCTATACCTTAATGCTATGCATATACCAAGGGGTCTATGAGAGCTCGTCACTGACACTTAATCGGATACTTCTAAGGTGAATTTTGAAGACTCACCGCACAAGCAACGTGAAGTCAAGTTAATAACCGCACTTAGTTTCTGTATATGTCTCAGAAACACAAAATACATCCATGGATCGAACTCTAAAGTTTTGGCGAGAGATGCCTACTGTCCATTTTCCAATAGAGTTAGGACGTTGAGGAATACAATGTGAAACCATGAAGGCTTGGCTTCACTCTTTAAGCTTGTATTTTTGTACGATTGTTGTAAACAAGAAGCGTTATTTACAAGAAAACCAATTCAAGCAACAAAGAATATTATTTTGAATGTAATATGTGCTACTGTTGCCACATTTACATAGACAATAAAGAGAGGATAATTAATAAATAAGTCTGATAAAGCCAAAACCAACTTGATAAGTAATGCTGGAAAGCATAGCACTTTGTACAAGAACAATTGTGAAAAAAAACAAGTTCACTGTTTGAAAGCTAATTAAGTTCAGCTACTAAGCGAAACGTCCAGCCTAGCAGCCATATCGCCTTATTTCTTTAAGATTGTTATGGGATATATAGCATTAACCAGATTGCCATCTGTTGACCATATTTCAGTATATCATATATGCACTAGTCATTTAAGATATGAATAACAAATAAATAATATGAGCGATAAAATATCCTGATTATCAATTTTATTAATATTTTGTTATCTTGTTGGTAAATAAAATGTAGGAAACTATTGAGAATGAAAATGACTGTTGAAGAAGCCAATGTAGATAAGCTTATAGTTACTTAAGTATGATAAACAGTTGTAGTGATTTAATGAAGCGTAATAATAATAGTAGTAGTTAATTTAAGCACATATCCCAACATATGGCTAAGTTCATTTGACATACGATAGATGGTTCTTACTTTCTTTATATACAACACTTTTGTCTAAGATTTTGTATATTATTAGAGAAAATTGCAAAGCAAGGTAAAAGAAGGTTAAATGTTTCTAGCAATGAGGTCTAATGTCCAGCGACCGAAATCAATAATCTGAGACTAGGAGATAGCCTACGTAATCTTAGCTCTTCATCTTGCATATATGAATTTCACTGTTCTTATGGTACATGTTACATAGAGCGCACGACTAAGCAAGTGCATTTACGGATACGACAACACATTCACCGGCTTAGTTTAGAAAAGGTGAAGTGGAAGTGATGAAAAGTTCTGTCTCAACGCACCTAGTAATCATTAGGCATCAAATAGATGCTAATAAACCTTTTAATCCCGTATATCGTGTACCAGAAATAAAACCACTTATGGCTCACCACCACCTCCTGAGGCTGGCGTAATTTAAGGTTGATCAAACCTGAACTTTACATTCACAAGGAACATGTTCAAACATTGTTTCTCGTCCGATGACCCCTTAAATACTATTCAAATTTTGAATCACAACGAATAGAAAACAGGAAATGTTTCTTGTTGCGTTACTGTTCGTTTGTCGTATTCCAAACTGACTACCCAATGAGGACTTCTTATCAAAATCGAAATCAAGTTGAATTAGACGGGGGGGGAAGCAAACATATTGATTATTAGTTTGACTATCAAATGCTGCCGCGACTATCTCAGATGGTCAAATTAAGAAAGTGTTCCTACGCAGAATATAAACTAACTGCTGAAGACTTCAGTTATCATAAAAAAGATAATGCAAGATGATAATTCCAATGTGAAGTAATATTTGTGTAGATTTCACTTAGACATATGACTCATGATGCTGGTTTACTTTTTTGTCTGTTTGCCTAATGCTACATAAAATCATTTAAGGTGAGCATTAGGAACAAACAGTAAATATCAGTAAAAAAACAACAACAGAAATACGGCATACATCTACATATTTGTACATAAGATGATCACAGAATACATAAGAACACAACACTGATTTACCACAACACAGAAGCCCCGACAACACAGAAAAATGAAATATCCGTTGTCCCATCATTGAGTAAAACCATTTTCTTTCTGGATATCACGATAATCAACTGCAATCACTTACAACTGTAATGCTTTACGTCTTTCTTGTTCTTCACGTTCCAGTTTCTCTTGTTCCAATGCTGCAGGATCTCTGAGCATAGCAGGTTGATTACTTACAGTGTTCACTTGTACGCTTAAATCTTGACTCTGTGACGCTAATGATGGATTGCGACTTTGAGATTTTTCTTGATGTGATTCAACAGATTCTGTATTAGGACCACTATTCGAACTATTCACACTATGTGAACTACTTCCATGTGTTCCACCAGTATATCGATCTATTGTATTGTGTTTCGAGGAATGCGTTTGTTGTAGTTGTTGTTGTTGCTGCTGCTGTTGCGATTGAGCACTTAAACTCATTGCATCAACGGATAGTTCACCATCATCATCATACTCATCCTGTTGAGAATCTTGTCTGGTAATACAATAAGTAAAAAAAACGAACAATTATAAAATACGACTAAAAGGTCAGTTTAATATTTTATGAATAAGCAAAAAACCGACCAAGAGTTTTGTTGACTAGTCTACACATGAAACCTATCAAAATTACATGCAATTAAAAACTGATATACACATTCAGATGTGCACACAGATAGGCCTGTGATGAGATATCAGAAAAAACCAGAAGGGTTGAATGTGACGTTTTAAAATTTCCTGGTACAAAGTCATTCGAAAGCATAAGTGGTCGAAAACACAGAGAACATAAGGCTGGGCTTTAGCTTTAAAATCCACTATATCAACTTCAATTATAAGAAATGGGAGGATGTTAGGTATGATTTAAGTAGCAATAAAAATGCAACAAAGACTTGTTGATTGAACTTTCTTACAATAAACGGCTACTATACGCATCCTCATTATGCTTAAATCAAACAAAGAAAAATACCAAGGACAGATTAATCTTAAAGCATTCACTATATAATCGAGCAGTTCATCTGGTGGCAGCTAGCAGCAGAATTGAGGACGCGCGTACCCATGACCCCGCACCTCCAGGGATCGAACCCAGGACCTTCACGTTCCGTGGCCAGCACGTTACCATTGAGCCAATGGATCGCAATCCAGTTGTCCACATTTCTTACTTCGATCAGTTCACGATATAGCGCGGCCTACATTCAGTGTCGTCGATGAGTAACTTCCCTCATGTTTCACAAACCTCCAGATAAAATTATTCTCTTTTTGACAAAAAAATTATATTTTGTTACCAACCATAGAACATGTCATTGCAGTAATTTATAAGTGAAGTTTGGTAAAACTAATTTCTACACACTTTTGACAGGCATGACCCCTCACGTTTCAAGAAATAAGCATCTTCAAAAAATATCTAAATATCTAGAGCAATAGAAATGAACAAGGATTCAGTTATTTATGATCGACAATAAATTAGATCGATGTCATGTTCAGTTGGCACAGAGATAGATAAACTTACCCATGACCACTACGTGAAAATGTTTCATTTTGCCATTGGCGAGGTGGTCTACCACGTTGACTTGAGCCAATATGATCTTTTGATCCAGATGCATAGCGCTGTTTTGAATGAGGGGAATGACTGTGATCCACAGTATCCACTTGATGTGGAGATATTGAGTTTTGACGCCGATACGAAGTATACACCTCATTAGGAACAGAAGTATGTACATATTTAGGCTGTATACTCTGTTGCACTGAACTGACATTATCTGCTTGTAATCGATTATTCAAAGGTTTATTCGACTGAACAGGGTGTTTATTACAGACAGCTTTTGATGTAGTAGGTTTATTGCCATAATTAGTAAATCCAGGTACACCTTCCTCTTCTTCACTTGATGAAGAGTCCAACATTACTCATAAGTACATGAACAGATATCGACTAGAAACCTTGAATAAAAAGGTGATTTAATTAATCAATAAAATAAAATAGAAATATTTGAGACTCTAAGGGCATAGATACAACAGAAAGCAGACCAGAAAACCTATAGCAACTACCAAAACATGAGAACATTGTTTACAGATATCAGGCGGTGGGATATTATTAGGTTTGTCCAGCTTGCAAAGCACTAACAAACACTTTTTTTGCTGAAATAAATTAGAATTTAAAAACTATACGGCGGAATATACTTTTATAGAAAAAACACCTCAACAGTACTTAAGACGATTTTTTAATCCTACTGCCAACCATCAATTGATGGAAAGATGAATATCAATACAATATGCAGTTTCACTTCCAAAATAGACCTTTACTCAAAAGGTGAATAAGAGTAAAAGGGTAGAGCCGAATGTTGTCAAAGATTTAGATAATTGATGGAATCAATAGATGATTTGCATCATTTAGTGGTTTTTTTGAGACTATACGAAGTTCTTATGCACTGCTAAAACGGTCATCACAATCAACTTGCTGCTACAACTGTCAATTTGTGTTGCAGACACATAGAACTAAGGTTTTATTCATCATTGACTGATAGTAGTTGAAGAACTATTAGAAATCTGGGAGCACTGGACAGCTGCTTCATCCCTGTGTGGGACTCTTCAGCAGTGAAGCGGATGCCAAATGAATACCTTGACGATTAGTCATGCTGTATCACAATATGATAGAAGTAGGAAACTGTGGACCGTTGAACTCCAACCGAGTAGCTGAATGTTTAATGTATTTACCGTTAAACCCGAAGGTCCTGAGTTCTATCCCTTCCAGGGTCGTGGATGTGCACTGATAAGAAATCTCACACTAGGATGAAAGAGATGCCCAACGCCCGCAAGTTTTTTAATAATTCTCCAAATGATGTCAATTCGTGATGAATACTACCTTATAAATGAAATCCCTATTAACCTAAAAATACACATCGAATTGTTTCCTCTCGATGCCTTATCAATAGTGAGTCAATTGTGACAATTTTTTACCAAATAAAACCCAATTAGTGAAATATAAGCCTAATATCTCATCATGTTAGATTTATGGTATTCAGAAAGCCTACCATTTCTCGTTGTAATAAATTCTCGATGTATTATCCGGTTAAGGTCTTTAAGCCATTGTGTAGAAAGAAAATGAAGCTTGCAGTTCTATAAAATCTTTAAATAATGTCTATGTCCAATTATTACCTTTTCAAGGTCATCTGAAATGCTAATAATAATTAATAATAATTTCCCGATACAAAACAATTAACTGGATCAAATATTTTTCAATAAATGAACAAAAAGTTTTTACTTTTTCCTATCGGGATCATATTTTATTAACCGAGGTTGAGAAAGACAAAAAACACGTATAAGTGAATACGAAAGCTCCAAAATCTCAGGTCTTTAGTGAAAAAAAATAGTCACTTGTGAAAAATGAACTACTTTTTATGATTTCCTGCGACTAGCCCCTCCATACTCTATGATTATTATTATTATTACTTGATATCCCAAAAGCAGAATGATTTGAGCACCATTAATGGTGATATAAGGAAGCAAAACACCAGAGGCAAAGAATGAAATCAGACGAAACAATATCGTTTTACTAATCCATAAATTATATGCTAGTCAAAATACAGTTCTATTTTCAGTGTTTATACAAATAACAAGAAAATATATTGATAACATTTGGTAACAAATAGTTTTATTTAGACTAATACCTATGCTATTCAGAATCCCGATTGCTTAGGTTCTACGAGGCTGTGGCAAATATTCATCTTAGGACTGATTAAAACTGCAAAGGGCAAAAGACCCTATATAAATTTGTACAAAACAAAAAGTTCCATGTACCTGAAATCAGCTTAAAAATATTGAGTGTATGCTACAATTTCATGAAGAAAAAAAATTATTACTTAGTAGTTCCTTTACGAAGAAACAAAGTAAAATAAGCAATACACCGATTGTTGTATCAGTCATGACGCTTGAGCATTGAACGAGAAAAAGATAGGCAAGAAAAAATCTACAAAGTTGTTTTACTGATACAACAGATTAAGATCTCTATTCAGAAATTCTGATGCAATAGTTTTATACACTTAGTGTTATCAAATGAATAGTAGAATGTAGAATGAACACTAAATAGTATGATATAGTAAGTTAAGGTCGTACGGAGTAAATTGTAAATCGATAGGCTTGAATATTTAGTTTTGGAGTAAACGAAAGTGTAACACTACCTACAATGAATAACACACAGTTACAACTGATGACTCAGTGACAGTCAGATCAGGTCTATCATTCCCATGTACTATTACTCACTATTCTATGATTAAAACCTAATAAATCACACAAAAAAGGTTTCTATTAGTCCTTTAAATCAATTCCCAACGAAGTTCTATACTGAATTAAAAAAATCCAACGTTGAGTTACACTTTCCTTGAAGATGCTGTTAGAAAAGTTAGACCATTGAACCTCAACCATAGACTGAGTGGTGATTTGCTTACAGTCAGACTTGGGTTCGACTCCATGTGGTTATGGATGGAAACTTCTTATGAATCATGAATTAGGATGAAACAACTTACCAGCCATGGGTTCGAACCCCACTCTGTTTGCTAAGGTAATAGGCAGGCAGGTAGTATCAGTAACGGTCAAGTAGTAGACGTGGGCCTACTGTACAAATCTGCACAAGGTTGATGAGTGGAATTCAATTTTCGAACTTATTGATTTAACCACTCGATTTTGGTCCCAGTGGTAAAACTCGATACTCTATTCTATTCACTTCTTGTAAGGCTAAGACTGATCATTTAGAAGGTTGTTTTTTTTTGGCAGAAGCATAATGCTTTAAACTGAAATTGTCAGTAAAAAAAATATATTCATTTAACTAATATTTTGGCAAATATCCTAATCTCATATCAGAGTATACTTCCAGCAACTAACGTGAAAATAGTGAAAGAAAAGTGGTAGCATTCACTTTAAAGTTGATTCATGTTCTCATATCCAATAATAATACAATGTAAAAACAGGAACAAATTTTCAACACCTTAACATTTTCCAATCACTTATCCCCTTGTTTATTAGGCAACATAAATACACACTTATGTATACAAACATATTTATATATGCATCTAAGCAAGCTTGCTATTTTAAAGTAACAAGATTTCAGTTTTATTTTTTAAAATTTTAATCCAATTTATTATGCTTTTTTTTTTCATATCCGTATTGATATCATTTATTGATCTTTTTTTTTTAAAAAAAAATTTTAGCTATAGGATGAAGAAGATAGGATAATTGGATAACTTGGTTTTGAGATTTTTATGACAGTTAAACATGGAAAATAGTTTGTCAAAAAGCCTGAATAAGAATATTTAAAAGATAGAACGGAAAGAGAGAAATGGTGTTTGTTCTGCTCTCGTTCTCTTGTGTGTCATATATACTAAGCGCATTTACTTTCTGATACATGGATGAAGACAAACTGTATATATCTTTATGCAAGTAAGAGTATGCCTCAGTAACAATTTTTTTTTAAACAACTGAAAAATAGATGAATTGAACAAAATAACAAAAAAATGTAACTACAACTAGGCATGTACTGATTTATATTTTTGTATACTACAACAACAAGAAAAGAGGAGTGAAGACATAGATAACTCAAAAACCTAAATAAATTCGTGAATTACGCTGAAAATCATCAAAAAAATTACATTTGTAAGATTCAGCTTTGAGGTTTGTGGGGATCTATTGATTTCAGGTTAGTATTCATCATGGACTGACATCAGTTGGAGAAATATTGGAAACCTGAGAGCAATGGATGGCGGTTTCGTCCTAGTATCGGACCCCTCAGCAGTGTTTACCCATGACCCCAGGCCACTAGGGACTAAACGCAGGACCTCCAGATTCCGCAGCCAGCACATTACAATTGAGACAACGGGCTGCAATTCAGTGGTCTATATTTTCTCATTCTCTCAGTTCATTACATGGTGCAACCCCATCACGGCAGAATGGTTAGCGTGTTTGCCGTCAATAGTCGTGCTATATCACAAGTTGGCATGAGAAAGTAGGAAACCGTAGAGCATTAAGCACCAAACCAGTGACTTACCGATAAGGTGCTGACGGCGGAACCTGAAGGTCGTTGGTTGGGTCCCTAGTAGGCGAAGTCATGTGTGTGCTTCTGAGGAGTCCCAAACCAGGACGGAACCGCTATCCAATGCTCCCAGGCTTCCAACTTTTTTTCTCCAACTGATGTCAGTGCATAATGAATACCAACATTGAATTCATAAGATTATGAGACAGTGAGACTGAGATATAGATCAAATTGGGTTTTTTTTACAAAAATTCACCAGTTGGCTGCATATTTGGATTTACTGTACAGTTGGATTAGATCAGAAGGAGGTTGGCAACATGTGTTGGTCATAATCATCTCGGAAATACCCATAACCCTTTCTGACAGTCAAGACTATATCATACACAATAAAGTAACAGATGTTGCTACTGTTTCAAATGTAAAGATTAGTTGCCATACAGCTACACATACACGTGTCGTAGATTACAAACACATCACCACTGAAAGCTGACATTTTACCAAAAACCGGAAATAAATTATTTGGTTACTGGATCAGAATTCAACAGTCTATATTTCCTACCATATAGTGCGACCTCGATCCAATGCTGTCATTGACTAACTATTCACATATTCGACTTGGTTAGCTCCACCGATCCCAACTTCTCAGTAGAACTTTGAGAATCATATCTTGAAGCACTAAATTAACCCATTTTCGAGGTTTTGGGGAATTTATTCGTTGATTTAAGGTTGGTATTCATCATGGACTGAAATCAGTTGGAGAAACATTGGAAACCCAAGAGCACTGAACAGCTGTTTCGTCCTAGTATGCGACTCCCCACCAACGAGCACCCATAACCCCACCGGGGATCAAAATTATTATCAGTGACCATAGGATTTCGAAAAAGTCGATAATTGATGACTAGGCTCTATTTTAATCTGA